TATTCTATGATTCTATGATTCTATGTATGTTCCCCCTAGAAAGAAGACATCCACAAAGGAGACAAGCCTAGGTAGACTGCAGGTCTACAGCTAGAATATGATCTTCACCTATTCTGACAGCAGCCTCCTGGGAGCTGTTCCCCAGCAAGGCACAACTGCAGGGCTGCTCCTCTGCCTCCAGACAGATCAGTTTCAGGGACACAAAGGGTAGACCTAGGGAAGACCCTTGAGATCAGTGCAGAATGTGTACCACTGCCTCGGTGCTGGTACCCAGAGCCATGTTGCCTGCTCTAACTATTGCATTGCTCAGGCTGTCTTAAGCGCAGGCAGGTGGTGGCCCTTGCTCAGGAGGTAAGCAAAGTCACCTGGAAAACACCCAGATCGCTCTCGTGCCTGGCTGTAGCTTCAAGCCACACATGTGCCCTTCACCACAGCAGACTTGTGGCAGCCAAGGTCAGCAAGTCTGGGCCTTCGGTCTCGCCTGAGATCCTAAAAGCAGCAGTAAAAGGGACTGGCTGCCAGGAGGCAAGGGACAGTGTGAGACTGACAGTACCCTCTGCTGGCAACGGTGAAAACACCAGCCTGACAGGGCTCAGCAGCACCCTGCCAAACAGTGTTTTCTCCCCATAAACAGCCCACCTGAGCTCACCCCTCTGTCTAACCTCAGCGCTAGCAAAAAGCGTCCTGGTCCTAATACTCAATTAATCTCTCGCTGAAGACATCATCCTTACCCAGTCCATATTCCACAGACTCTGGATGGTCATCGTCTCCCTCCTCACTGACTTTCTGCAGGTGCTGCAGGTAGGCATCTGTGTGGAAGCTCGCCATCTCCTCCATGCAGGCCACTTTTGGCTTGACTATCCTAGGCAGAGAGGAGGGAGGGAGCACGTCAGAACAAGAGATTCCAAGGTTTGTCTGGAACGCCTAGCTGTAACCTCCTCAGACCAGAAGCCTTCTTTTGGCAGTTGCTGTTGACAAAGCAAACAAAACCCCTACCTCCTCTCACACCAAACTGTCACTTGGAGTGAAAAAGCTGATCAGCTGAGCGAGCCTTTCCCCCAGCATGGCACTATCTGCTGTGCAGGGAGGAACACCTGCAGGTGCTGCCTGCATTGACCTTGCCACTTTGCTTCAAGTTTTTCTTCTCTTTTTCTGCATGTTCTCCCAGTTTAAGCAGTGCCCAGTACATCCAACACTCTGATTACACACAGAGGAAAGAACAGAATGACAACTGCCAGGCCCAGCCCAGTGCTGCAGCAGAACGCCAGCCTGCTGGGTCAGGAGGCTGAGCAGCACCTCTCACATGCTCTTAACTCCGCCTGCATTCAAAGCAGGGGCTGTCTCTGTTCTCAGCAATTCACACATCACCTTTCCTCAGTTGTGGTGCTTTGCAATCTGCCTAAATAAATATTGTGACATGTTGAAGCCGCCTCCAAGCCTCAGGCCCTGGGGGCATGCTCAGACAACACAGTTGCTATGGGAAGAACAAAAGAAGCTCCCAGCTCTAGGCTAGCCCAAGTGCTGAGCACTTCTAACCCCATGCCAGGGCAAACAGCCCTTTGGGTCCACCTCTGTATTGGTACCTACAGACATTTCCAAAGCACACTTTGCCAAAATGATCAGAAAGAAAAAAAAAATCCTGAAAAGAAAAAAAAAAAAAAAAAAAAAAAAAAGGCACAGCAACAAACTTCCCTGTTATCTTAAAATGATTTGGTTGCATAACATCCAAAGCCATGCCTCTGATGAAGCATACAACAAATCTGTAACAGCAATCTATTTTTAAGGATTCTGCCTAGAAATACACGCGGCCAGGCTCCTGGAATCATTCTGCCAGCAGGGGCAGCCCTGGAGCTACTCAGTACCTTCCAAACCTTAGCAGAGAAGAAAAGGAGAGTACTTACTTCATGTGGTCAAGTAAGGAATACGCTTCAATCAACGAATGCACCATACTGGCCTGAAGAAAACAAAGAGTAAGCCCATGAGCAGCTCCCGTGTAGGAGATGGCAGCAGCGCCCGGTGCGAAGCGACCTGCAGCGAAGGTGTAACCGGGACTTTTC